ATCCTAACATAGTTATAACTATTTGTAAATATTCGTATTTCGGTACTGGAGAGATGGTTCAGCTGTTAACAGCACTGACTTCTTGCAGAGGACCTGGGTTCGATCCCAGCACCCCCATGGCACTGACAGCCATCCATAACTCCAGTTCAGGAGATCTGATGCCCTCTTTTGACCTCCTTGGGCATTGCACAGCATGGGTGCACCTATCTACATTTAGGCATTACATTCATACACATAAAATACAAATGATAAATGAGAAAAGATTCATATTCATGTCTTTTGAAAGCTACAACTATTGAAAAACTTAAAAACTAGAATCGGGCTAATCCAGACTAATAGCATGCTAAGGTAGGAGTGTTATTGAGACTGTGTAAATTAACAGTTTGTTTACTTATGTATAATCTTTGTGGTTTATTGATTCTGTGGTGGGACTTTACCCTTTCACATTAGAGAATATGGGATTTGGACAGACTTACAGATTTAGGAATAGTTTTTACAGTGCAACAGTTAAGGTCTTGAAATCAAATCTATTGATGTATTTTCTATAATCTTGTCTTTCTTGGGTATGCCTAATAGGACTCTGCAGTATTTCTGTAGATGCTCCTGTTACTTATATTTCCTTGATTTTTTTTAAATACTATTTTTATATGTATAAATGTATTGCCTGCATGCATGTAAGTGCACCCATGTCGATGGTTGTTAGCTGCCATGTGGGTGCTGGAAATCAAACCCAGGTCCTCAGCTAGTGCTCTTAACCACTGACCCATCTTTCTAGCCTCCATATTTCCCTGATTTTAATTACTACAAAATTCTATAAATGAAGGGCTCAAGTTTTAGGAAAGAGAGTTGATGTAGAAATGTTATGGCAGCACATAGATACTGGCAGGCTCTGGCTTCCAGTATGAACCCAAAGGATTTACTTAGTACTTTGAGTATTAAAACTTTATCATTTAAAAAAAAAAACTTTTAAATAAATAGAAATAGAATTGTGAACAGTTCCACAAATCTGTTTTTTTTTTTTTTTAATGTATATGATTGCTTTGCCTGCTTGTGCATAAGGGTACCTACCATGTTCATGAAAACCCAAAGAGGCCAGGAGAAGGTGTTGGATCCCCAAGAACTAGAGTTACAAATGGTTGTTAGCCTCCATGTGGGTATTGGGAACCCAACCCAGGGACTCTGCAAGAGCAGCCAGTGCTCCTAACTACTGAGCCATCTCTCCCACTCTCAAAAATAGTTTTTTGTTTTGGTTTGGTTTGGTCTTTTTGAGACAGGGTCTCCCTGTAGCTCCAGCTGTCCTAGAACTCACTATGTAGACCAGGCTGGCCTTGAACTCACAGAGATCATCTGCCTCCTGAGTGCTGGGATTAAAGGCATGCGCCACCACGCCCGGCTTTAAAAAAAAATTTTTTTTCACAAATAGTTTTTAATGTAAGACATTTAAAAGAATAATTTTAATGTCATCTCAAGTCTACATTTCTGTTTTTAATGCATATGCTATCAGCTATTTAAGAAAACTGGTTGGGAAATCTGTGACTCTATTTTAACGGTGAAAGCCAAAAGTATTTAAGAAAATTAACTGAGTACCAAAATCTACCCTCCCAGACAATGTAGACCCCAACAACTTTTCATATATGTACTACCAAATACCTAAGACACTGATTATCCCTATCTGTACAAAACTAGTTTTTTAGAAATAAAACAATGAAAAGTTATCCTAATTTTGTTTAATAAAAAATCATGGTAAAGTATAGAAAATCTTGAGGCTCGAGAGAGGCTCAGTGGTTAAGAACACTGGTTACTCTTGCAGAAGACCCAGGTTCAAATCCCAGCACCCACATGGCAGCTAACAACTGTCTGGAACTCCAGTCCCAGGGGATCCGACAGCCTCTTCTGACCTCCGAGGGCATTGCACAACATGGGTGCACTTACCTACATGTAGGCAATACACACATACACATAAAAAAAGAATAAAAATTAAATAAAATTTTTTTAAAGTGTAGAAAATCTTAATATATTCAAGACTTAATCATAATAGTCTAAAAATATCTTAAGTAGAAGGGAATTTCTTAAAAATAATCAATAGCATTTATCAAAAACCTATAGCAAATTATTTTATCAAATGGCCAAAGTTTAGATATTCCTATTAAATAAAAATATAAAAATGTTTATTTCTGATTGAGCGTTGGTGTCTCATGCCTTTAATCCCAGCTCTTGTAGTCTGGGGCAAGCAGATCTCTTTGAGTTGTAGGCAATCCTGCTCTACATAGCAAGTTCTAGGCAAGTCAGGACTACATGGTGAGACCTTGACACCAAAATTTATTTTCACAAATATATGCATGTGTGTTATCTATACAATATTATATGTATGTATGTATGTATGTATGTATTTCTTCATCTGTCTTATGTTAGCAGTCCTAGTCAGTGATTGGATAGAAAAATAGAATAGAATTAGAAAATAAAGTAACTGTGAACTTTTGCATTGAGAAACTCAAGGGAAGCCTAGTTTGGTGGCACATGTCAGTAACCACAGCATTCATGAAGCAGAAACAGAAGGATCATGAGTTCCAGGCCGACCTAGGCTGTATTTTGAGAGAAAAGGAAAAATTCAAGGATATTTCCACCAAAATGAAGCTACTGAGAACTCAGATAGCTGGTGGATATGAGATTGACCACTTAAAAAATAATTTCTCTGACACAGCCTCAAGTTCATCAACCAATGACTGAATTAAAAAAAATAATGCATATATGCACAATGGAATACTATTTTTTCCAAGTATAAAAAGCCTTTAACCTGCAACAAAGAGATCATCATCTTAAGTGAAATAAGACAAATATAGCATGATTTTACTCAAATGTGTAATCTAAAAAAGTTGATTTCATAGAGTAGCATGTTGCTTGCAAGAAGCTAGGAAAAGATCAGTGGGTGGTTAAGTCATTAGTACTAAGAAACTCTAGTGTGCTGTTGCACTGTGGTGGCCATAGATGGTAATGTCCTGTGTTTTCCAAGAAGTTAGAAGTCATTCTGCATGTTTTTATGGTAAGGAAATGGTAAATGCTTTAGGAGGTATGTTTGTACTGACTTAAACATTACACTCTGTGCATGTACCAAAATGTGGTACCCATAAATACTTACAGGGTTTTTATGTGTCAGCTGAAAGGTAAATATAAAACTAGTCATTTCTATGCATTGACTACAAAGTTTATATAATTGCTTGGAAATAATTTCATTTTGATGGGGTGGGTTTTAACGTAGTCTTACTGTGTTGCTCTCGTTGGCCTGCTGACCTCAGACTTGCAGCCCTTCTGCTTGTGACTCTTGAGTGCAGGGATTACAGTCACGTGCAACCATGCCTGGCAGAGAAGTAAGATTTGCATGGAGAAACAAGGGTTCCTGAAAATCAGTCCAACAAATTAGCTTAGATTTTAATGGGGAGAAATTTTAATATTTATTGAAAGTCATTAAATAGTGCCTGAATAGTAGGAAAAAAAAATTCTATTCTTGAGGATCAGAAGACTTAGTATTAGAAGGGCAACAATTCCCCCAAATTATTCTGTAAATTAATATAGTCCTAATCATAATCTTTAAAGTTTTTGTGGAACGTGATAAACTGATTTTAGGTAATTGTGACACTATGAAATTGGGACGACAGATGCATAGATGAAAGAAGTAGGGAAAACGTCTCGTGTGAAAAAGCAAGTCACGTGTTTGAGTGTATTAATTAAATTGCAAGGGACTAAAAGGCTAAAAATACTGGTTTGCTTTTCCTATCAAGTACAATTTTAGAAAATGATTTGCTTAAGAATTGCTACCTTAATTCTTCTTTTCCCACACCTTAAGTTTTACAGTGTGAGGGCTTTCAGTTGCATAACCCTGACGTTGGGATTCAAGTACTGGTGCAGAGTTCCACGTAGCCACTTTTAGAGAATTAAATTGCTCATGAATATTCTGTAAGAATTATGAGATTTTGTTAGGTTGGTGCCTTTGCTTTAGCTATTTTCAGATATAACTGTGGGTTTTTAACTTCTCTAGTGCTTTATCTGGTTAAGCCCAGAAATGTTAGAATCATGATCCCCTCAAAACCTGTGTTGTTACACACAAGAGCTTGGAATAGCTCATTAACCTTTACTTTTGATTTTGCTTGCAGTTGAATCTGGTTAAATGCGAGAAAAATGCCCCAGAAGATTTTATAGTACTGTTTGAAGAGCAGTCAGTGACAAGTATTATTGTTAAAATGTTAATGATAAATTTTTTAAGTTTGATTATAATTATCATAATCAACTTTTAAAATGCTTGATAACAAGCTTTCCTTTCTTTCAGAAAACCCCACATTAAAAATATAAGATAGGGCTGGAGAGGTGGCTCAGTGGCTAAGAGCAATGACTGCTCTTGCAGAAGACCCAGTTTTGATTCCCAGTACCATATGGTGGCTAACAACTATCCATAACTCCAGTTCCAGGAAATCAAATGCCCTCTTCTTACCTCCACGAGCATTATATGACACAGGTGCACTACATACATGCAGGCAATACATTTATACACATAAAATAAAAATAATAAATAAAATATTTTAAATATATACAAGGCAAACATACTGTGTTTTTAAGTTGTCAGTAAAGAGCTATTTTTTATACTTCTATTTTATCACATTGCATTTTAAATCTTTTGATTCTTACAAATTTAAAAAGTAATTTTGTTCGATTAACTAATGTTTTCATGACTAACACTTGACTGCTTTGTAAAGTACTACTGGGGAATTTTTTTCTTTGATTTTTGTCAATATTTGACCTCAAGTAGTAAATACTTCAGTCTTTTCTTCCAAAGACTAAGTGGCATTTATAGCTGTAATTACAAATCATTGTAATTTTAATTGTTCTTCCCAGAATCCTTTGAAGTGGACGTGTTCCTCAATGTAAAATGCAATGGCAAAAGTAGGCTTATTTTTTGCTGTTCTTGTGTTTCCAGCTATTTTTATCAATGAATTTCTTTTCTTTTCTAGGTATCTAGTAGATAGTCGGTGGTTCAAACAGTGGAAAAAATATGTTGGCTTTGACAGTTGGGACAAATATCAGATGGGAGATCAAAATGTATATCCTGGACCAATAGATAACTCTGGACTTCTGAAAGGTAGTCTTTTCTTTTTCAGTCAAGTTGTAAATGTGTTAATTTTTAAATGTCTATGGATGCAGTATGAAAAATATTAGTACAGATAAACTACAAGTAGAGATTCATTTGTAAGCTTGGCCTGGTAGGTAGCACACATCTATGTTCTGAGTGCTAGAGGATCACAGCTTTAAACCATTTCAAAAAGTGAAAAGAAAAATTTATTTGCAGCTTATTCAATAATTTAGTTATTGTTAAGTATAAGGACATTTTGTTTTGTATTATGTAATGATGGTTTATTTAAATTTAAAATGGAGAATGTAGATTATAAAAGACTATCGATATGGTTTTAGGGAATTGATGTATCATGTTGTTTTTCTTAATGGATAAATGGCATATTTTTAAAGTTGGTGATCACCAATAGATGTTTACATTCTTGGTTTTTACATTATATCTACAACCTTCACTATCTACCAGCTGTCTTTCACTTATTTAAAGGGACTAAAATGTAATTACCAGAACATCTATGGCCAATATGAAGTGACAGAGACCAGATTCAGAGACCCGAAATAGCTACAACCCTGACAAAAGTGAACAAATCGGTAGTTCTCAATTTCTAGTTATCTGGCAACAAAAAAACAGTGGTCCCTGAAAGATGGAAAACAAAAGAGGGCTCTTTGTTGCTTTCATCTTATCTATTGAAAAGATTTCAATGACACAGCACTAGGAGTAGCAACCCATGTAGACATTTGCTGTATCTGTTAGTTGAGGGGATTAAATTTGAATTCTTGGAGTATCAGAGAGAAGTGAATGGCTCAGAGAGAGACCAAGAGATCTTCAGAGAGTATCTTGTGAGTCTTTGACCTAGAGATCAACAGGTGCATGTGAGAATGTTGCTCGATACTAGGGAAAGAACCACGCAAAATAATCAGGCAACACTCATCAAGGCTCATATAAGATCATAAGACCAGGAATAATTTCTGTATCTAGCAGATACAGTGGTGACACTCATATTTTACAGGTAGAATACGGACAGTGGTTAGATATTTTTTTAAGAGAAAGCTTTACTTTGAATGCACTTGATATACTTCTGTTACTAAATTGATGTTATATTAAGAACATTTTAAGACATGATTGTTACTACTCAAATATTTTCGTTGTCTGCTGTGAAATTATTTTTATTAAATAGAAGTTTTGCATGTATTTCTCTATTCCAATTATAGCATTTGAAAAATTTTTGTTTTTATTGAATTTTTGTATATTTCATATAGAATAGACCAAAGTTTGATTTTCTATAACCTGAAGGTATCAAAATATTTTCAACTGATTTAACTGCTTTTCAGAACAAAAGAATATTCACAAGAACAGGAAACTATCCAGCATCCAACAACATAATATTGTAATGTCTTGAATCTAACCAGTTGTTATCAGGCATGGCAAGCACCATGAAAATATGACCCACAATGAGAAGAAATATCAATCTTTTATATATTTCAAAAATCCCCCCCAAATTCTCAAAAACTGAACAAAGAACAAATGAGATAAGTACAAACAAAATAACAAGATGGTAGCTTTAAACTCAGATCTAGGAATTATCACACTAACTGTAAACAGTTATTTAAAGCTAGAGACTACAAATTTCGATGAAGAGCTAAGACTCAAATATTGGCAGTCAACGACAACTCACTTTAAATATAAATCAATTAAAGGTAAGAAATGGAAAAAAGATAAATTATGCTGTCATAGTAGAATTGTAAGGCTTGACCCCCCCCCCATGACCTTTACTCTTGTGTCATTTTCTCTGAGCAGGTAGAAAAGCAGCAACTAAATTAGATACCATTTCCATGATGTATCTATAAAGCAGGAGGAAGGTTATTCTAATGAGTTTAATCACATATTCCCTATTAAAGTAGAGAATTCTTTTGGCTAGGGACAGAATAAATCCGATTGAAGTATGAAAAGGATTCAATAAATCATCGCTAGTTTGAAGACAAGGCAGTCAGCCTGTTCAAGCAGAGAAAAACTTCAGACTTACAGCCAGTGAGGAAATGGGAGGATTTCAGATTTGCCGGTATCAGTATAACTAAATTACACCAACAGCGTGATAGGAGCCCACCAGCTCAGCTGACATCTTGAATTTCAGCTTTGCAAAACCTGAACCACAGAGCCCGCTGGAGCACACCTGAAGTACTAACCTTTGCACAGAACTCTGCGATGATAAAGGGATTTTTTTTTTTAAACCACAGTAATTTATTATTTATTATGTTATTTATATAAACTTATTATGAAGCAATAAGAAACACCTGCTATCACTATTGAAAGAAATCTAGAATGGACATATTAATATCAAACATTATGTTCCAGAATAAAACATGTTCCAAGGAATAGAAAGTCACTTCATAACATTAAATGGGATGGGAGAGTTGATCAAGAGAACATAATTATCTTTAATATCTACCTACCTAAAAACATAATTTAAATATGTGAAGAGGGTGGTATCTTTAAGATAACAAAATAGGAAGATCTTCCCTTGTTGCCCCATGGAAGCATTGGCTCCATGATATATGGGCCAGAATGCTTTTGTGGGACATCTGGAGTGCAGTTAGGAAGTTGTGGTACTCACATGAGCACAAAACATAATAACCACATTGATTCAGATAAGAGCAGTTTTGTTTTATCAAATCAGCCTTTTCTTCAAGCCTGTACAACTTACTATCAGAACAAATTGCAGAACTAATGAGATGGCTCAGTGTGTAAGGCATTTGCTGCAAGCCTAAGGACCTCAGTTGGATCCCTGGAAAGGTGGAAGGAGAGAGCCCACTCTACACTGTTGACCTCTAACCTCCACACATGGGCCACGTTGTCCTATGCATATGCCTGCAGCGTGCACGTAAGCAAGTGCACATGTGTGTGCACACTAATAATTTTTTATTTAAAAAAGATTTTGTAAGCACAGAGAAAGACAATGGGAGCATCACAGCTTTCAATCTGCTGCCTGCTGAGTTGCTTGGTATTTCACTTCACATAGAGCACTAAGTGGACCAGGCTCATTCTCATGTCTAAGCAGTTAACGGAAAGTAAGTGGGTGTTTGCTACATCCAGGATGTTCTCTGAGATTAAGAGAAGGCTAAAAATCTGAGGCTTTTCTGCCAGGAGGGAAAGAGAAATGAGATGCCCTCCCTCATCTTGTTCTCTCAGTGCAACAACTGAGGGGCAGGTTTTTATCTGTACTCCCTATGCCTGACTGAACTGGTGTGGTTTGGATGCCTGCAAGTTAAGAACAAAGGAAAAATCAGGGAGTGGTTTGCTTTTAACTAACACAGCTCTGCAGTATCAGGAGATGCTGGCAGAATCAGGTGATATTTCTTTCCCGTACAGAAGAGAGTGAGCCTATTTCAGTGTGCTATATGAAGGACCAATTTCTGCCTTGTCTCACTCAGGGTGCTAATGGAACTGGCTTGATTTTGATGAGAGTTAAGAATAAAGGGCTGGAGGCTTGCTACATCCAGCACAGCTCTGCAAGATGGAAGAAGTCTCAGACCTTGAAGTTTCTCCATAAGGAGGAGCAAGAAAAGAAGAGCATGTCTCCAGTGTTCTGATCTATGGTCTGAACATTAGAGAGAGGAAGTGATCATGGGCTTTGGACAAAAAGAAACAAAAGAGTCCTAATAATAGATTTCATAATCTATATGCAAAGTGTAAAAAATATCCGTCTATAGAAAAAATTAGAAACTCCCAGAATCTCTAGCCAGGCTGATGAGTGAAAGTATTTCCCTGTCAAAGCCAATCCATAGAGAAGGTAGCAGGTAGCTTTTTTTTTTTTTTTTTCAGTTAAACAGAGACTAAGGCAAAGCTATAAGAAACTTGGAGAATCATGGAAACAAGTCAAAAAGAAGCAAAAGTTTCCAGAAATTGACCAAATGGAAATGGGGTACTATGAATGACCTGATAGAAATTCATAGTAATTGTCTTTAAAAAGCTTGAACTCCACCAAAACATAGACAACTAAATAAAATCAAGAAAACAACTAACAAAATGAATATCAATAAAGAATTTATATCAAATGAATTCTGAGGCTCACAAATGCAACTGAAAAATTCAGTATAGTTCAGCAGCAGCAACTTTAATCAAGTTTAAAAAAATGGCATACTTGAAAACAAATCATTTGAAACCATACAATTAGAAGAATAAAAACAATGAAAAAAAATAAAGAAAGGCTACATAATGTATTGGACACCATCAGCTGAAGCAGTATGAGCATTGTGGGAGTTCCAGGAGGAGGAAAGGATGAGAAAAGGGCAGAAATTTATTGAAAGAAATGCCCAAACTCTATAAAGTTTGGTGATGGAGGGTGTGTGTGTGTGTGTGTGTGTGTGTGTGTGTATTTCTAGAAAATGCAAATTTGCCTATAGTTATAAAATAGAGCTATAAAGATCATAAAGCTCAAGGATGTTTTAACAACACTGCTAATCACCTTGACCTAATTGACATTTATAGAACACTGCACCGAAAAAATACAGAATAAAAGTTCTTTTCAGTTGTATATACAGAACATTTACCAAGATAGACTAAATTCTAGGCCATAAAACCTGTCTTTTAAAAAAAAAAAAAAAAAAAGAGGGGAAAAACCTGTCTTAAAGTAAGAAGTGTTCAAATCGTCCAAAGTATCATTGATCACAATGAAATATATCACACTTTAAAGTAAGCATTAAGTCCAGTGAAAAAGTAAGCAAAAGATTTGGGCAGATATTTTACCAAAGAAAGGACTGGAGATAGCTCAATAAGTAAAGTACTCACTGCACAAACGTGAGGACTTGAGTTCGATCCCTTTGTAAAAAGCTGAACATGGTGGTGCACACCTGTAATCCCAGTGCAGGGGAAGTAAAGACAGATCCCTGAGGTTTGCTGGCTAGTCAGCCTGGCCTACTTGTGATTCTCAGGCCAGTGAGACAACTTGTCTCATAAAACAAGGTGTTCAGCTCCTAAAGAATGATACCATTTTGAAATAGAGATCTTTTTTAAAGGTTAAAAATTCATTCAATTTTATGTCTTACAGGGCTTATACTGAGTTCAATATTGTATAACTGTATTAATTCAACTG